ATAAATAATATTATTAAAAATATTAATATAAAATAAAAGTATAAAATAATAATCCGGTATTTGTTAACGAAATTACTACCGTATAGGAAAGAGGTAAGAAAAATAAATACCTTTAAATTATAATATATTAAAAATATATTTAAATAATAATATTAATAAATAAAAATATAAAAATAAATTTAATTTTATTATAATTCGTATATTAAATTAAAATACTATAAAAAAAAGGAATAAATTATTATATAAAAGTTATTTCTAACGTAAAAAGTTTATAAAAAAATATTATTTTTAAATATTATAATTAAAATAAAAATAATTTTAATTATATTTAATATTATAAATATAGAACTATCGAAAGATATAATTTTAAAGTAATTATAATATAAAAATTATAATTTAAATATCGATTAAAGAAATAATAATTATTTATAATTAAGAGAATTATAAAAATATTTAATTAACGATAGGAGATTAGGAGTATATATAAAATAAAGTATAAAATAAGTATTTTCTACGGTACTACCGTAAAGAGTTTAAAAAGTAATAGTATATTTTATTAATATAAATAATAAAATCGAAAAAATAAGGTTAACGACGTTAATAAAGATATTAGAGGTTAATAAATATATTTATTATAATAATATAAAGAAAGGTAAAAAAAAAGGTAATATTAATAAAATATCGAGGATACTTAACTTTTACGGTTAAATATTTAAAAGGGCTTTTAAAGCGAGAACTATAGAACTATAAAATAAAATTAAAAGAAAGAGCTAAATTATAATTATTTAAAGTTTATTATATTAATAATAAATAAAGTAAAAAATTATAAAAATATTTAAATAAAAATTTAAAGAAAAGATATATTAAAAAGTTTATATCGTTAATAGGATACCCTATATTCTTTATATTAAAGAAAGATAATAATTTACGATTATATATAGATTACTATTAATTAAATAACAAAACGGTAAAAAATAATTATTCGTTATTTGTAACGAACCCCTATACAGAACCTCTAAAAGGGATACTAATTAAAGGTAACTTCTAACAATTAGTTCGGTGTAACTAAATAATATATAATAAAATATTTTAATATAAATACTAAATACCGTAAATATAAATTAAATTATATATTACGGAATTATTTATTTATATTAGTTAGTTCCTCCGTATATATAGACCGGTTTATTATTATTATTACTAGTAATAATATCGATTATTATTCGTTATTTATCGAAAATTAATAATAATCGTAATTATTACCTTTAACACTAATAATAATCCGACTTCCCTACTTTTCTATTCTAATAATTAAACGGTTACGCCCCGCGCTCCCCACTTATATTAGGTCCGTAATATAATATTCCTCCTCTAAATTAACGTCCCGTTAGCCTAATTTTATTAACTATATATGCTTTTCTTATTTTCCCTTTTTTTTTTTATAAATCTTTCTTTTTATCTTTTAATAACCTAATTAATATTATATCTATAGTAAAACCTCTATCGTTATTTATATAATACTATATTAAATTCGTTTAAAATATTATTAAAAATAATTTCTTCGTTATACTTTACTCGTAGTATAATTTATAAGGGTTATCCTATTATATAATAAATAAAGTAAAGCGTTATAAAGTTTACGTACATTATAGTCGTTTATATAACGGTACCGGTATCCCTATCTTATTATATAAGTCTCCCGTTACCTCTTTCTTCTTCTTTACTAATCTCTTTTTAATAAATAAAATTATACGAAAGTAATATTATTTTTAAAAAAAAAAGAAATATATTAAAACTTTTTTAATCGAATATTAATAAAAAACTTTTAAAGCTTTAGTTCGTTTATTGCAGGTCCGTCATTAACGTAAAGTTTCTTATAGATAAAGGAGCCGTTATAAT